TGATGTAATCAAGTCTAGGTATTAGACAAATTAATTAGGTTCGTGGTATTATGATTATTGTGGACTTTTTTAAACATTCTAGGACTACTTATATGAACTTACTTTAAATACTTGATCATTATGTCTTGTGTCCTCTAGCTAACACTTAAATTAAAACATTGAAATATATTGTTACGACAGCGGAAGTCACGTGACGCTGCTGGCGTGTGCGAGGAGTTTTTCCAATGATCGTGAATTTCCTAGTTTGTTCCAGGCGCCCTCTTTTTTAGTATATAAGCTCGGCAAAAAAAGATAGAATTGCATATGCAAATAGACTGAAGATTGAGATAACTGAATTAAGCGAACAGTAGGTACCATAAGTAAACTGTGTGAAACGTGTGAATTATAGCGTGTTTTTATAAAAGTGGTTAAGTTAAAGTGACTGTAGAAATTCTGTGTATTGCAAAGTTGTATCGAGAAAGAATAAACTAGTTTTAATTAAGAAAGGACTTGTATTGCTGAAGTTTCTCTGAAAGAATTTCTACGGGAAATTAACAAACAAGCAGATACGTAACAATATCTTAAAACAATACTAATTACCAATATAATTTTCCCCTGTTCCACAACCCGCTTCTAAATCAAGAAGATTAGCTCATTGTTAATAAAGTGCTTCTGATCTAGAAGTGAGCCAATACATAACTTCACCTTTGTTTTCCAAGAGCCATGTGATTCTCTAAGTGTAAATTGACATCGTCAACAGAGGCAGTTTTGACCATGCTGCAGGGTTTGTCATGTATGAATATGACAAGACAGTCAAGAATGTGATATTCTTGGTTCCTACTCTTTACTTAGACAAGACGGCCCACTAACATACGAGATCCAGTAATCATGGACTGTGAGAAAGTGTACCCAGAATGTGGATATGCAATGACAATGTGTTATGGAAGAACCTATAGTATCCTGGCTGGCCTAGGTGTCAGAGGTGAAACCCAATGTGTTTAAGGACGAGAATGCAAGCCAGCTAAGCTTGTTAAGTGGTCGAAAGATTGCTATCTGAAAAGGTATGAATGACCCTTGCTTTCCATGCAGTCTAGTGAGATACGATATATGAAGACTATTGTATAAATACTAATCTATAATACCAGCTTAGACAGTCATTAATTTACATGACCAATAATTGAAAGGAAGTACTATTCCTTGCTTCCTGATGTTGTCTAGCAGAATATGTATCTTCCATTTTATGGATACTCCTCAATAACACCAGCTAGGACAGTCACTTGATTGAGAAACCAACGACTGAAAGGGAGGTTGGACATGTACTCGTGTATAGTTATAACCACCATGAACCATGAAGGTATAATACTACAACTACATATCTAAAGGTAGCTAGATAGTACTGTGACTAACCATAACATGACTGTCTAGAGGACAACTACATAGTACTGTAAACATAGCATGACTGTCTAGAGGGTAGTTAGATAGTGCTGTGACTAACCATCGCACGACTGTCTAGAGGCAGCTAGATAGTACTGTGACTAACCCTAATATGATTGTCTAGAGGGCAACTAGAGAGTAGTGTTACGTCTCTGGTCGTTAGTTAATCTCCCGTATAATTTATTTCCGATGAAACTTTAGCGACACAAGTCCTTTCTACAATAAAACTAGTTTATTCTTTCTGAATACAACTTTGCAATACACTTAATTCCACAACGAACGACTCACGCACTCGACCCAACTGTCCGTATCTATCTCTGTTTGCAATTCAATTACATTGTTGCGTCACTTCTTGGCCGTCTTATATATATACAAGAATACCGCAAATCTAGTAAACACTCGAGGATTCACGAACCTTCGAGAATATGACGTGTTACTAGGGTCACGTGACCCCCGCTGTCGTAACACTGCCCCTTCCTTAGTATTGTTTGTCCCGAACAATAGCAATTTACATTAAACCATTAAACAATTAACAATAACTTAATTAAATGTACAGAATTTACAAACACAAAATTAAAATTCAACAAAATCTCTCAATTTTATAGGACGTAAATTCTTCCGTACTGGTCTCCATCTCGTTGGCTTCTGCTTCATGTGGGGTTCATCTGCTTAACCAGGAAATGTCCTATCATCGGTAACAGTAACATCAGTGGTAGTAACTTCATCAAGGGCTTCACTGTTTCCCTTCTCAAAACCGAGTAGTTTTTTCTTTGACATTGGTTTTTCAGGTGACACGTCTTCAGCAGCATCATTTGTCCCAACTGAAATGTCCTGGACCGTGATAATGCCAAAGCCTGTTGGCATGCACCACTTTTGGCTTACTCACCGACCACATTTTATCCGGAAAGTCACGTCTGAGAGACAATCCACTATGTCATATGGGCCTTCCCATGGAAAAGACAACTTAGGAGACCTCCCTTTGGTCTTCCTGGGATTATACAACCATACCTTGTCTCCTGGTACAAAACTAACTTCAGTAGATCTCTTATCATAAGATAACTTCATCGAATCAGCGGAAGTTTTCAAGTTTGAATGCACTTGATGATAACACTTTCACGAATTCCGACACATTTTCAGGCAACTCTTCATAAGGTGGGCGTCCTGTTAAAAGATCCACTGGCAACCGAAGTTCTCGACCAAACATCAACTTTGCTGGAGTGTATCCAGTGGCTTCATGCTCTGCTGTCCTATGTGCCATCAACAGTGGA